TTTCTTTCTTTCTTTCTTTCTTTCTTTCTTTCTTTCTTTCTTTCTTTTCCTTTCCAGGATCTTCATTCAGGATGCCCAAGCAGGAGCAGCTCCTCTCTGTCCTTCCACAGCACACCACCACCTCTACCCTTGCTGCAGCAAAGCCCTGCCTCACTTCCTCTGACTACTGGGATCCAACAGCAGCCACCGCTACCACCTGTGAACGGCCTGAGCAGAGCCATGGGGACTGTTCATGGGGGAAGTGCCACAGCTACTCATAGCCTTGTGGATGGTCTCCTTGGCAGTCTGGCAGGAGGGCAACAGATCCCTATCAATGGACTCCTAGGAAGTTTAAATGGCACTTTGGCTACCCAGACCCAGAATCCAGTACTGGCACAAACCAGTGGTCCTCCCGGTCTTCAGCTCTCTATGAGCCAAAGCAGGTAAGAAAGAGGGAAGACTACAAGAAAAAAGCCAAACCTTCTAGGAGGCAGATTTTTAAGAACTTTTTTTGCCCTAAATCTGGAGGTCTATTCCACTTTATTTTTATTTACTCCTGATATTTTTTCACTGCCAAGATCGCATATTTCTAGGTGGTTTATAAATCAAAACAAAGGAGCCATAAGAGCCACAAAAGTAATGATAGTTAGAAAGGCAGCAAATTTAAAATGGAAGAATAAGAAAAGTGTGACTTTCGTCTTCAAACACCTGTTTGAAAAGTTGTGTTTTAAGTCCTTTCCAAACAGCAATTTGAAGAAAGGAGCCAATAAGATACCACGGGGAATATAATTTAGAGGGTTAAAAGAGCAGAGAGAGGCGTTGCTTCCAGACCTCCATCCCCTTTACATTGCAAACTGAACAGTCAGGCTGGCCAGATTCAAATTAGAGGGTATGGTAGGTATCTTGAAGCTTTACCCTTTGGGCTTTATAAGCCAAATGGATCACTACCTTCGCAGCACCCATAAAATAGGCTTGATGCTGCAGTTAGCTTGTACCCATCATCAGCACGAGGCCTGCTACATTTTTTTTCCCCAGCTTCAGTACCAGATGGGCTTCACAAGAGACCCATTAAACCAATATGGAGACAACGAGAGCAGGAGCATGACACCGGAGCTTCTTGTTCCAAAAAGCGTTGCAACTGGGGGAATCAGCCAACTGGGCAAGGGCACCTCTGGATTACTAATTCCATCTGCTTATCTGGGCCCAGCCAAGAATCAGTAGCATCTCCAAATTGCAGACCTGCTTCTTCAGGAGAAGTGGTAGGGAGAGCATTCAATCACCACCGTAGCTGCTGGACAAACAACCACTCGGTCTTGTTGCAATTTTTCCACAACTTGCTTTGCTTAGCCCCATCCAGTCATTGGACAAACAGTTCCACAGCTGCTTGTACTTAGCTCTGAATGAAAAGTTGAACTGGTATCATATGGATGATACCTCACCCTAGTAGTTCATAGGTGACCTCTCCCCGCTTCATGAATGGATAAGGGTCAAGCCCTATAGCATAGTGTATAAAAGAGGATACAGGCTTGAATGTTGATTCCCCTGTCCATACATTGACCAGTATTATCCAATAAAAGAAGTAGTATTGTAAAAACCATATTCTAGGTGGGTAGCATGGTCAGTGAGGTCAAAAGGTCAGCAGTGAGGTCAGCAGTATTTGGCATGATGTTTTTTCTTTCTTTCTAACTCTTCTGGCATAGGATGTGAGGGGGAGTTGCTACAATCTTTGTGCAGCTGATCATGTTCATTTGGTTCTGATCAATCAAATAGGACAAGAAAAGCAGCATTAGCCAGTCTGCTTCACCTTTATCAGCGTTGGATATTTGGGGAAGGGTATACACGTGTAAGCAAAAGTATTTTAAAGTATTTGTAAAATGTAGCCTGAATACTGTTATTCTGGTTTCCAGTATGGCAAAGAACAGTTAAAAATAATAATAATATTAGAAGGAGGTAACGCTGGTAGCATTTTTTGATGCAGCAAGAGAAATAGCTGAGCTTTCCAAGCCCTCAATGTCTTGATTCTGAAGTAGTGGAACTCAAGTGGTCTTTTGCAGTAGTGCTGCATTGTACAAACCGCCCAATTCTTTTTGTCGTCTTTCTTCCAGTATACCTAATATGACTCACTTATCAGAACAGCAGCGGCAGCTGCTCAGTCAGCCTGAGCTTCAACTGCAGCAATTGCAGCAGCTCTTAACATCACAGCCACTCAACCCGGTAAGTAACATTTCATCAGACAACTGCTGAGGGGCAACTATTATCTTAAACAGCAGGGCACCAACTCAAGGTATAGGGTTTTCAAAAGAAGGCAATGTTTTATCAACATCACAGAACAAACTAAAATCAGACTGCTGTTCTTACTTCCTTTGGTCCCTGGACATTAGACAATACTCAGTTTCCATGTTCAGTGTAATAAGAATTTTCTTTGATAGCCAGAGCAGACACTCCTCATGTCCCTGTAGCTGCCAGATGGAGATAGGGAACAGATACTGTGAGAATGTGTAACAAGAAACCAGAAACCATGATTTTCTGATAAATGTGAGGTTACAGGAATAGATTTGGTCTCCTGAAACCCAGACAAGTAGCAAAGGGCAGCATTGAACTAAAGGTTGCTGAAGTGCTAATTCAAAGTCCCGAATGTGTGGTTTTTTTCTTTTCAAGAAGCAACTGGACTTTCTGGTTTTTCTTTGAAGATATTTTGCTTCTCATCCAAAAAGCTTCTTCATCTCTGAGAAGCAGAACGACTTCAAACAAAAACAAGAGAGTCCAGTTGCCTCTTGAAAAAAGCACCTTTGGGACAACCATGGATGACTGAGGATCTCCATAGACATTCTGCTTAATTCAGAGGTTTGCAGCCCAAGTCTGTCAGCCTATGAAAAACCAAAATTTAATCAAGCAGTTGCTTACTCATCATCCAGGCTCTTTTCTTTTTTTCAAAACTTGAATATGTTTGTATTGATAAACGATTTAACCCTTACAAATAATGCCTCGTTTCTGCTTAGTATCAAAAGCACCTTCAACAGCACAGAAGCAGGCAAAACAGACAAAAGCAGTTGTTTTCATAGAAGAACGCTTCGAAAGCATTGGGTCAATTTTTCTATAGATTTTTTTTTTCCAGCTCTCCTTAAGAAAATCCCATAAGGCACACATATCATAAAAAAAGCAGTATTTGGCATGATGTTTTTTTTCTTTCTAACTCTTCTGGCATAGGATGTGAGGGAAAGTTGCTACAATCTTTCTGCAGCTGATCATGTTCATTTGGTTCTTAGGAGCAGCAGACATTGATATTCCAGATGATTCAACAAATTCAGCACAAAAGAGAATTGCAACGACTCCAGATGACTGGTTCCTCCATGACAGGCCTTGGCCCAGTGACCACCACATCCCTTCTCCACTCCAGCAATAATGCACCATCAGCTGCCAACAGTACTCTCCTGGCCTCCATCTCCCCTCAACAGCTTAATCCTGCCAGCTCACTGATGGCTTCCCCACCGCTCAGCACCCCTGGGAACAGCCTGATGTCAGCAGCAGGGGCTGTTATTCCACCTGTCCTCACAGCCCAAACAAACCCTTTCCTCAACTTGCAGGGTGACAACAGCAGCCAGAAAGGAATGGTGAGCATCTTATAAGAAGGCCAGAAGCAAGGTATTGCCTACCAACAGCTGAGCTACTTTGGTGACATAGCATATTCTTAAATACTTTGAAAAAGACGTTTTCTGGAATTAGGACCCCATCTAGCTCTACTGGGTGGAGGGAAGTCTGTAGGGAATCTAACATGTATATGGAACAGATTTGGATATAGGATTTGGCCAGAATTCTAGATAATGAAGTAAATGTTGGGAAACAAAAAAAAAAGTTTTGAAAATACAGCGGAATGCATTCTGTCAAGAAATGGGTTAACGAGCAGACAGATGAAATGGGGAAGAGGCTGGACAAGGCTAAGTGGGGATTCTGGAAATGAAAAAATGAAAAGTATATTTAGAAGGTACCTGAGATTAGAATCTCAGAGGATTGTTTCATATCTGTTTCCCCCACCCCCCATTTTTAATGTATTGTTTGGCATATCACCAATTTAGACAGTGCTGTTTTTGCCATTTTTCCCCCTCCAGAGCATAAATGAAAAGGGAGGTGCCTCAGTGCAAGACAAAGGCTAACTTTTGGTGATACTGGGCTGCTTTCTCTGCCATAAGAAAACAGTCTCCCTGAGCCTTGGATCCCAAAACGTAGAGCAACCATATGAAAGGCTTCCGAGAAAGTCTTCCTTGCCACAGTCACAGTGACACCAAGCGGAGGCATGCCAGAAGTCTACGTTCCTCGGTTCTGAGCCTGTCATTTAGTGCCCTTCTAAAAGAGATTGGTGGTGTGAACACCCCCTTTCCCTTGTTGGCTTGGTCTATTCTGCTGCACTTAAAACGTTGCACTCCAGATGGAAAGGATGAAGCAGTGTTTGCCACCCAAGAATATCCCCTCAAAGATGGGACATACGAGCTGGACACAACCACAATCACCTGGTGATTAATGTTATTTTTTTCAGAGCATGTTATTTCCAAATCAGAATTAAGAAACCCATCAATTTTCCCTGTAAGAAGATCCAGCTACAGGAAACCAGGTTCAGATGTTTTTGAGGTTTCTAATAAGTAAAAAGGAAGGGTTGGAAAAGTGGTGTTTGAAGGTCCATGTACATGAATCCTACACAAAGGAATTCAGTCTCATAAGCATTTCAGATGTCTACATCTTAACTGACTCCTACTGAGGTACAGTTTAGCTGAGAAAGAAAAGGTAGTCCTGCATAATTGAGAACCTTGGTTTCCCCAAATCTCTGCCAGCCACATGTCTTTAAAAAAAAAACTACCTGAAAGAAATGGCCTCACTTTTTCATTTTTGACCAAGGGATTCATCTTTCTGTCCTTCAGAAATATTTGCAGACAGTGTATGCTTACAAATAACCCAGAGTCAATGCTGAGCTATTTCTAGCCACTCACAAAGAGTTTCTTGTTCTCTGTCACATCAGCCACTCAAAAGCCCAACACCAAAGAGGCAGAACAAAGGTTTTGTCTAATGGCAGGAGCTATTCCAACCATCTCCAAAATCAGCTGGTAAGAACATCTTTTCTGTGAAACAGATCTCACTCATATCCCATTTAAGGTTTTCCCTTCACTGGAAGATCTATTTCCATTTCCATTTCGTAACCAGATGGTTTAGCAACAGTATGAATTTCTTCTCCTTCCAGGAAGTGAAAAAATGAAATGGAGGTCAAGATCAGATATTATGAGGAAACCAGCTCAGTTTTGTCTTAATTGGATAAATCCAGATCTCTTAAAGAGCAAGATTCTGGGTGATAGAACCACCTAGGGCCCTTCAGAAATTTTCCTGCTTCCATGAATATGCAGTCATTTTAGGCTTATTCTTGCCACCTGCTCCAATTTGCACTATTTTCAACCATTGGTGGTGAGCAAGTACTTACAGTCCCATAATAACCACTGTTCTATAAAATAATGTTTCGGAGTTTTTTTCCCCTATTATTTGAACAAAGCAAATGTATCTCCAGATAGATGAGTTGGACTCTTAAAAAATAAGACACTGAAGTAATTTTTCATGATTTTTTCTTTGTTTTGTTTTATTCATACAGATATGTTTAGCTCCAAGCTTTGAGTGAGTGTGTGTGTGTGCATACTTACCCACAGTTTAAGGTTTGTTTGCTAATATTTATGAAGTTGTTTAATAGCTCCTAGAAACTGTCAAAAACAGTTATAAATATTCCAAATGACAACTGGGAAGTTTTCTTTCCAGTCATGGCAGCTTTGGCACAGGTTAAGGAACAGATTGAACACTTAACTCAGAAAACTAATCCGCCTCAATGCACTTACTCTTTAGATAGCCAGTTCATCTTTAAAATGTATCCAGGCCAATGCATTCTGGTTTTATTTTATCTTTCATTAGCACTGTTGATAGTATTTTTTAGGTTTTTATTCAGCTGCCATAATATAGAATGGCTATGAGTTGTGATGGAAGTAATTTGAAGTGGAGGCTAAATCCAACTTTTGTTCCCCTTTTCAGGCAACTAATGGGCAAGTATCTACAGAATTCTTATTGCAAGCTGCAACTGAATTGCAAAAAAATGTTGTTCCATAGCACCAGCAAAATTCATAATCCTATGACTTTTGTCTTATCTTGGCGCTGGGGGAAAAGATTTTTACAACTACAGCTTCTCTGCTAGAATTGCAAACATGATTTTAAAAAAATTATTGCCATCAATAAATGTTTGATATAGAGAACTGCACCGTCATACGGAGTAGTAAATCAAATTGATTATTTAAATATTTTGGAAAAGGGTTGTTTAAACATACAAAAGAGGTAAAGCATTAGCTGAAAATAATGGCCATTCTAGTTAAAATATCGTGGAGGAAAACACTTTTCTTTGCAATGAGAGCAAAACTAGACATTGCAAAAGAAAAGGAAGGATTGACCCCATATTTTCATTGTAATGATAATAGTGGATTGGGAAAAGGCATTTGGAAAAGAAAATTAAAAGATGGGAAGGAACTGTATTACACTGCACATTTGCTCATTCAAGAATTGCATTTTAAAATCTGATATTACTGATTTCTTGCTAGCCCACAAAGCTTTTGCAGGAATATTTTTTCTCCTTTAAGTCTTCTTCTGTTTGTATTGTGCTTTGAGCCACAAGGTGGATAATCTGTATTCCTCCAAATATTGGTGAACTTTAATTCTCAAAAACCTTACTCAATACAATCAGTTACGGACAATGCGGGATCTGGGGTGTAGGATCCCCTGAAGAACCTTAAGTTGCCCACCTTAGGTTGAGGATGACATAGTTATACAAAACTCTCATTGCACAGGATCACAACACTGCATTAGACATGTTTTGTAATTTTAAGTGCTCGGAAAGTGGGAGGTAGCAAGCCCCAGTTGAGCCCAAGTTGAAAAAAAATTTAGCATCAGAAATATAGTTCATTTTTATATTTATCACATTTCCTCTGGAAATCCAAGGTGAAATACATGAAAATCACTCTTTTTTTCACATAACAAAAGTATGAGATAGATTGGACTGAGCACTAGTGATTATGGTCTGCTATTGCCATTGGTCTGAAATCATCCTCTGAAGTTTATGGTTGAAGGAAAACCTGGTCTTTCTAATCCTCTCCAACACCTGAACCATTAATCTACAATGGTTGTATGAACTAAAGTGAAAAATCAATAAGGAATAGATAATTCAGCCTTTGGGCAGCAGGTGATACCAAGGCTGAATTCAATTCACGATCATATGTATCAAATGTTCCTGATAGGCAATTCATCTGGTTAGAGATACGTATTCATGAACTTTAATTTGTCCCACCTAATCTCTATAGGTTAATGTAGAAGGCATAGAGAAGGGCAGGAGGAAGAATCACAGCCAGGACAATAATCAGACTGGCATATCTTGAACTTTTTCTAACAAGTTAGTTTGAGTTAATGTCTCAGCCCTTCCATAGCATGAAGGTAAAGTAAGGGAGGGAGAAACATATATAGATTTGCAGGTTTCTGTAAGTATAGCTGTCCCAATGAAAGTAGCCCTGTCCTATATAGCATTGGATTACAATTGACATCCGTGTAATATCCCTATTGAGTCCCCAGTGAATTGTAAGTGGCAGAATCCACAGAATAGAATAATAATAATAATAGTAATACCATTGTTCTATAATACCATTGCTTCTTGCACTCAAAGCTACACATTCAGCTTAGAAGCACAGTATCAGGATTATAATATACACAGTTAGGGTATATTTAGGACCTGTCTGCACCCAAAAGATTAATTAGGATGCTTTCAGAAAACATCCTAAGAAAATTCCATTTTGGGGAGGTTCCAAAATCTAAGATACAAACTTCCAGATCACTATTAGATGGGAGAAAAGTATACATCTTTACTATCATATAGTGGATTTTTGAAGCCTGAATCTGACACCTGTATTACTTCATGACCAGACTGTTTCCTAGCATATTATATGGAAGAGAAAATAAGCAGCTGGTATTTAGTGGTAATTTGAAAGGCTGAAAAGACCTCTCTTGGATATTGTAAGGAATAAGTGCTTTTACAAAGCTCCCACAGATATGAAATAGAGAACTCAGTACAGCAATTTCCTTCAGTAGTAGAAACCTTGTAGAGCTGAATTAGACATTTTGGCTGTATAGACATTATATTTACATTTAAGAAAAAGGTTATACTGTGCATCAAGGAAAAAGCCATCTGGAGGCTTGTGGAACAGTCTAGAATACCACTTACTTGCCTCTCCAGGAATACTTTAGTATGTAACACATAAAAATCAAGTGCAATTCTAAAAAAGTCCCAAGCAAGGACTAGTTCAGATAAAACTAAAAGTCTTTAAAACAGGATTGTTGGAACAGTGATTGCCTGTCACAGAATCAAATAAAACACCAGTCACTTAGTTTTCAATTACAGAAATCAGTGTGCTCAGCAAATTTAGAATAAGACATAGAAATATGGCTAGAAGATGATAACGACAAATTACTTCTGTATTGTCAAATTACCAGGAATTGTGCTCCAATGAGTCTATTTTTATTGGATAAAGTTTGTTCGTTAAGAGAACAAAACATACTAAGTTATTTTTACAGCCCATTGTCTTCTTAACTATATGAATTGGTGGTAACTAGAAGGTTACCGTTCAGGTCCCTAGAATATTTTGTATCATACTTGTAACTTCAAATGTTAACTTGAAATTGGCGTTTGATCCTAGAATCTAGCTTTGCTAATCACTTCCCTTAAAGAAACTAGAGAAGCAACATACAATATTGGCTAAATTTGGGAAGAAAGCCCACTGAGTTACTTGAGGCCAGTCATTATCTCTCAAATTAATTTATTCCTGAGAAGTATTGCAAAAAAAATGGAGGAAAGAATTCCACATTGGCATTCTCTGCTCCTGTAGCAGGCTATAAATTTAACAAGTAAAGAAAAGAAAGCACATTCATTGTACTTTGCCATCTCAAAAACAGTTTCCCTATTTTAAAACATCAAAACCATCCTGATCCATTGTTCCTATCTTACCAGCAATCATTTCTGCTTCTTTCTGGAATGTTAATTCCAGCCAAGAGGTCTATAATTGCTGGAAATAGGAGTCCAAATTTTATTGAAAACTCTGAGCAATTATGCTTAATATCTCTCTCTCTCTCCCTCCCTCCCTCCCCCTCCCCCCTCTCTTTCTCTCCCTCCCTCCCTACCACTCCTCGTCTCCCCCTCTCCCCTTGTATATGAAGCCTTCTATCCCCTAGTGTTCAATAGAATTTCTGACAGCTAATCCAACAAGTTCCTAATGTATAAGGGTATATTTCCACTCTGCAAAAAGATGACCACTAGATGGCAACAAAGTTACAGAAAATGCTAACGTTTTGCTAATGGTTAGGCTTTATAGGTTGATTAATATGTTGAGGTAACAAGCACTTTTTTGTTTATTTTTAATCTTGTGACTAATAATCAGTGACCATGCAAGTTTGGAAATTCTAATTTATGTGAGCTTCTCAGAGTCTTGTTATTGGAGTTATTAAAAAACGTGCAAAATAAACTTACAAAGCAAACCATCATCTGAATGAACTGCATGCAACCAGTTTGCAACTTCCAGCTGAAAGGCAGGCCAGGCATGGTTAGGTTAGCATGAATTGGAAATTCAGATTTAAACTACTCTCTGCTGTTGATTTATTTGCATTATATCATATTCTCAGTTTTTAATATGTAAAATTAAAATACCCATGCTTGGTTTGGTTTTCTGTTTCTGTGAACAGGAAGAATAAACTTAAGTTTAGTATATGAGTGAATGCAGCTAATCTATTGAATTCTGATGCCATGAGAAAAAATATCTTTTTCAACCTCTTGATTTACAAACTTCTATTTATCCCAAACAGTAAAAGATGATGCATATTATGCTAGAGATCTTCTCTAAAACAGGAAACAGAACTTAAAACTGTCCAATTGAAGTGATATAATTCACTCTTTATCTATTTCTATTGTTTCTTTGTCTTGTTACAAAAATAACATATGTGATACATATATATTTTTCCTAAATAAGCAGGTAGTAACTGGGAAATAATATGGATGGCAATCCTATGTAAATTTCATCTGTAATAAATTCTGCTAAACTTAATGGGACTTACTTTCAATTTGCATAGAATTATAACAATAGGTTAAAAAAATAAATATAGAAGGTTAAGCCTCATTTCCCATCCCCAGTGATAGAAGTCCAGTCTAATCTGTTTTAATGAGCAGCGGAGAGGTGCTGTGCTTCTCCGAGATCAAAAACACTTCTAAATTATTCTCGGTATGCAAATCCTACTGGATGATTATTTCTCAAAGAATAGTTATAATGCAAGGGCATGGGGTTTGACCACTTGACCCTTAAGGTCTCTTCTATTTATTTATTTTTTAAGCTTCAAACTGCTTTAGCCCTTCCTCACAGAGGTTGTCTGCATATTATGGTCCATTTGATTGCTCTCTCTGCACATTTTCCAGAGGAACCACCTGTCTTTCAAATTTAGTTGACTGGATTAGTATCCCAGGAATTGGGTTTGGGGTTCAGTAAGCCAAACTATGACTTACTTGTTTGCTGCTTAGTGCATTGTGTAAACCCCAGCCATGTGGTTTATCAATCATGTTTTATGATTTCAATGTATTATGTGAATTCAAGTCAGTCATAATGTATGACTTCAACCCATCCTGAAGGTTGAAAATGACTTTAAATTTTTAGTGACAGAAAGCTATCATGGGATTTAAGATTCATGGTAAAAAGTTTAAAGTGACTAGGAATATGCTTTGATAGAGCAATGGAGAAGAGTACTAGAATCTCTTTTTGGCAGGAAGAGAACAGGAATAATTTTTAAAAGGTGACTAAGTTCCACATTTGGTTGCACTGGGGTATGTTTCTTTACCCATCAATTTTAGTACTTTGCCTGTGTCTAACACTTCCCTTCTCCTCCGTTGTTGTAATTTTTAATTAAATAAAGAAAAAAGATGTGTATATTTTTGGCAATCAAGTTAATGTAGCTAAGATATATTTTTTCCATGCTGCTTGACTGTTCTTATTGTAATAAATATTAATATCAAAATCAGAAAAAATAATAAACCTATCCTGGGTTTTCTTTTAATTATAAACATAAGTGATGACTGTTGAATGGCCTTTTTTCTTCGATTATGGCAAATTTAGGAAAAAAGACAATTGTATCTGAAACACGAATGCGATTATCTTCTTCCAATTTTCTTTTACGTTATAGCTTGGAGTGAATTTTACTGTAAGTCTTCCCATTACTGTAATTGTTTCCTTAAAATTCTGCATCAATTTTATCATACAATCTTTTACTTGTTCTGTGTATCATTTTAATAGGAATTTATATGTACCTCCTAATAGGCAATCTTCTATATAAACATTTCAAAATCTGTCATTTGTCTTAAAAACCCTTCTTCTTTCCCAAGGTCACTTTTTATTCTTCCAACAATGTATAAGTACATCAACGATAGTAAATTTTGCTCTCTGCCAAATAATTCTTGCTGTATCTAGCTTGTTTCAGAAATGTGAATGCGCCATATCCAGAATTACATTTTATACATAATTATATTTATATCCAGAATAAATTTGAAGGTGAAGCTAGAGGTGAGATTGCTGGGCTTATTACTGTTTATAGCAATATCATTTAGACTTATATACTGCCCCGTAGTGCAGTGCAGCACTCTCTGGGCGGTTTACATTGTCAGCATATTGCCCTCAACAATCTTCATTTTACCGACCTTGGCAGAACAGAAAGCTAAGTCAGCCTCAAGGCCCGTTTTTCCCTTTTTTCTACTTTTTCTATTCTGATAATTAGGTATGACCTAATCTTATATGCATTTCTTGTACATAAACAATATCAGCATTTTTAAAAATGTATTGAAAATCCATTTCCATTTTTATCCTAGATATTTCCCAGTATACTGGGTCCTGATTTAGTCCCAATCATAAGAGGTTTTTGGAATTCCTCCTTCAAACAGAGAGCTCTAATATTAGAAGGCTAGATATATTCTGTACTATACTATTAGAAGGCTTTTCTATATTCTGTACTATAAAGGATTTAAAACTCCAATCCAAAATAAGAGAATGTAGGTAAAAATTCCTTCTGCCATGCTGGTCATTATCAACTCTCAAGTTAAAAAGGTACTGAAATCATTGGTGGTTCCTGGTAACTGCCTGGATTATTCCCTGCAATTTTCTTGGCAACATTTTTAGAAGTGGTTTGCCCTTGCCTTCTTCCTAGAGCCGAAAGTGAGTGGCTTTGTGTTTAAGGTAAGACTAGGTAGAACTCACAGCCTCCCAGTTTCTACCTTGGTGCTGTAAACACCACACCAAAGTGGCCCTCACATTTATTGTTGGTTGGTTGGTTTAAAACATTTCTATAGCTGCCCATCAGAAGCCAAACTTTTGTCAGCACACAACCAAGAATATAATAATATATACACAATAAAAGGAAGAAACAATAAAATAGAAAAACTGGGCATCAAAGTCACTCTTTCCTCATGTGACCCACAGTCTCCTTCCACAGTTAACCTTGCCCTAGGTTAATGTTGGGTGGCTTTGGATCTCAGGGGGAGGGTGTTTCATGAGGCAGAGATTACAATTAAAAGGGAATGCTCCAGGCACCCACAAGTTAGCAATATTTAAGGGAAGGAATCTGGAGTGTATGTGTACAATAGGAGCTCTAATGGGACGGGTAGATATCCTTAAGGAGAGAGGGTCCCACAGATGACTGTTCAAGTCATTTAAATAAATATATTGAGTATATGTTGGCAATGTGTAACTACAATGTGTAACTATCTGCATCCAACCCAACTATGAATGGAAATTTTTTTAAAAAGTTTCTTCCAATGTAAGATGAGTGTAGCAAAACAGTCAGAACCAGTCTATTTATTCATATAAACCATTACTCCAGAATTTCTCAACTTGGCAGCTTAAGATGTGTGGATTTCAACTCCCAGAATTCCACAGCCAACAAGGCTAGCTGGGGAATTCTGGGAATTAAAATCCACATATCTTCAAGCTGCCAAGGTTGAGAAACACTGGACTAATAATGACAAGATAATCATTACTGAAGAAAAAAGGAAGCAAGTACCTAAAGTCTTTGGAAATAGCAACAGACAATCCATTTGGAAGCATCCAAGATGCTCAGTTTTGATACCTGTAGAATAATATCAAAGAAACGTCTCTTTGAAAAAGATACTACAAGTGCTAGCAAATTCGAGCTGCAAAATTCCCAATAGTCATGAGATAGCAGCAAAAAAATGTTTTAAGAGTTTTTGTATCTTTTTGCAGATGTGATAGAATTTCATTTCCTAGAGGGAGTTGCCTCAGGTTCTATTGGCAGCAGAGACTTCAAAGGATGCCATTGTTGTAACATCCCATTTCTCCCCCCTCCCCACAAGAATACTATCCCAATGTACAAGAGCAACTAAAGATCATTTTCTTAATTTCTTTCATCCTAAAATATATACTATACACCCACAAATACAGAATCATATGCGAGTAACTTTGTGATCAGGAAATTCTTGTGATCAGACACATGCTACAGTATTCATACACACCACAGCCATGTGGAATTGTGCCAAGAGGAAAAGGCTCCCACATGGCAATGGGTGTGTTGAACAGGCTAGACCCTCAGATTAGCACGATTTGATTTGGATGGAAGCAGAGAGACTTTACAGATGCTTTACAGATGCAAATTAAGAGAGGAAATATCATTCAGTTATAAAAAAAAAGGTAGGGAATGCAAAACATGGCTTCTACAATTCTTTGCGATCTCTTTACTTGGCAACGGCTATAGAAGCATCTGTATTTCCTTATGGTTAGTGAAGTGATAGGTTGCATCAGTGTCTTCTCAGATTCCCTACTCCTGTTGTATATCTGTATGTACATGTGCATTGGGAAGTACATGTAGTGTAGTTACACATCCGTGTTTTTCACCTTTGGCAATTTTAAGATCTGTGGATTTTGAGTCCTAGAATTCCCCAGCCCAGCATGGCCCAACTCTGGTTGGGGCATCAATAAAGAGTCACTGTCTTTGAGAGTACGCCCTGCAAAAACTCAGAAGTTTTCCCCTAGTGTTCCCAAAGTAAAAACAATCATTATTTCCATCTGTAAAGCAGGTTTGGAATTCTGTTCTCAATTATATTTTGAGCAGAGCCTGAACAAGGAAAGATGGGGATTATATCATAGCTGAGTAAATAATCTTGTTTCTATTTCAACATATTAAAATTTTCTTTTAGTTTTCTGGAAGTGCCAAGCTTTAATCTGAAGTTGAAGAAGAAGAATTCTCTTAGTTTTTCCACCTTCTTTCTACTCTGGTATTGCTTATCTTCCCTCAAAAAACTGCCTTTGACTTTTTTTAAAAAAACTAAATTTTATTTAGATTATGGCATTCTCCTGACCAAAGTTGCTAAAATGCCCATGCCTGGAAGAAGAAAAATATTTAGAGTCACAAAATCCCACAAAACTTTGTGCAACAGGCAATAGGGGATGCATCAGACTAAATCAAATCATGTTGTGCAATTATTCCATGTCTTTGGATCTGGCCTGATTTTTTTAGAGAAAGAAAAAAAAATCCAGAAAAAACATGAAGGTTATAAAGAGGTCAGCTGATAGAACAATAAAGTTATGCTGGATGCAGCCAATAGGAATGAATATACAGTTAATACTCATTCACCAACCACAATTGGGACCAGAAACTTTGTCATTAAGTGAAGGGATCGCGAAGTAAAACTGTGATTGGGCTTATGATCTTACTTCAGCTTTCTTTTCCTTTACAGGCCTTGCAAAGGTCGTAAATGCTAGGAGTAGTCGCCCAATTATTTTTTTCATCACTGTTGTAATAGCGTATGGTCACTGAATGAGGCAGTGACTAAACAAGAACTGCCTGTATATCTCGCAGTCTAAGCCACTTCATATCACTTTTGAGGATGCCAATAAAATAATTATCTACCTCTGGGGTATAACTTACAAAGGAAGTAATTTTTTAAAAAAGTACCTCTTAACTTCCACCTTTCATCAAACAAATTTGACTGCTATCTCTTTGCTTTGGAAACTTCCAATTATAATAGAAATAAATGTATTTATTATTTATTCATTTGGTAAATATTTGGCCATCATCGCATATATGTGACCCTTGACAACAAATAAAGTTGAAAAAGGTCACAACAAAAATAAAAAAAACCATAACAATAAAAAGATGAAAACATTAAAAGCAGAAAACATAAATGTTAGAAATCAAATCCAAAGTGCTGATTTTTTTCTTTTTTTTTGCCAGAGGCTGAAGTCTATGTAACACATCGTGTATTGCCGAACAGGTAGTATTATAAGTTACAAAACTGAGTATCAGAAAAATTCCAAACATTTAGAGAGGGTGACTACATGAGGACAAAATACTCCCCTGGAAAAACACAAACTAATTAGGTTGAAAATGTGGGAATCTTCGCTAAGTTTTGAATTTGAAATTACACCAATATTGAACTTAGATCAATGGGGGGGGGGAGGAATTAAGAAGCTAATGATACTCCATCAAAACCCAGTGTATATGTTCCTTTTTAAACAAATTATTTCTTAAAGAATCTGTGAAGACAGCTAGAATCAGATCAAATGAGGTTCTTTCAAAGTACCCCTCAGAACTTTCTGAGGAGCACAGCTTCTCATTTGCAGGAGCCATGAATAATATTTTCCAAGATCTTACCTATTTTATACTATATACTATAAGTGGAAATAAACCCAAGAGATGCTCGTTTACACCTCGTTTTCACCAGTTCCTCCTCTTTGACATTTTACGTGCATATGTTCTGTTTCTCTCACGTCCTATATACTTGGATATAATGCTTTCAATGAATGGCTCATCAAAAGGGATATCCTAATTTTGCTATCTGTGGGACAGGAGCCATTTAGGAATCCGATGTTAAGGTAGTTGTTAAACAGGCCGTTTATTCTTTACTACTTTATTATTAGTAGGTGATGCGCACAAATATCTATACCCTTTAAAGGCTATTCAATCTAGGGTCATTTTATTCCTAACGGAAATCAAGTCTTGGGTGGCAAAAGAAACAAAAGGCTGCAATCAAGCCTTTTAGCACACGAATGCAACCAAACCGCCCAACTGTAATTATCCACGTTTCCCGGATGTCTCAGATTTCAATTCCTATTACACCACCCCCAGCCGTCGCCAGCTTGCAAAAGCTTTTTCAGCCGCAGCGCCCCCTGGCAACCTTTCTCCACCAATTGTGGGCGGGGCTTGCCATCCCTCACCCACCCACCCCCGCTGCTCCCTGGCGCGCGGATGCGGCGCGCGGCCGCGAAGGTGACCCGGGTGGCGGGCAGAACTTGTTTTGCCAACCATGCCCGGGCTGCAGAAAGCCAGGGGTATCGTGGCTTCACCATTAGCCTCCTTCTGTCGCCTTTTTTTCTCGCAGGTAAGCACAGAAGCTTGGCAAGTTTGCACCTTTTCCACCCTCTCCTTTCCTACACCCCGAATTTCGACGACTTTTCAGTTTGCGTTGCTTTTTTCCATACAGATGCAATTTTTGAACATTTTATTGAGATGTCCGTAGAGAAAGATATATGGTAAGTGAGGCTGCTGCAGGCCTTCATATAGGAAAGGAAAGAGCACCAAATGATGTAGTGGGATTTATTTTTGACTCGTTAACATTTCAAAAATAAATACTACAGGACAGTGTTTACTTAGATATCCCCGGCATGGTATAATATGCTTTTTTTTTTACTCTATCTCCTGTATTCGAGCATGTATTCTGTCTCTCAGGTTCTAAAAGAATAGCTTTTATATAGGTCCAGCCTAACATGACATCCAAACCCTAGCAGTGCACCAGAGAAAACTTTTCCTAGTTTACTGAATAGTTCTTAATGCCATATTCAGATTGGGCAAGTGATGAAATATATTTTACATTGTCTCAGTGCAAACACAACCTCTTATGACGCAAGTATGACAGGTGAGTTTACATAATGTCATGTTGGCCACATTGTGGTTAGGAACAGACGCATACGATGGGGCCAAAGGTTAAAACAAGAAATGATACACCACAAAAAAATAGTTCAAAAAATAAATAAGAGCACAGTTGAATGTGCCTTTCTCATACAGGCCTTTTGAAAAGTGATCCTCACTGGCTTCACTGTGGATATTTCTCACATAAGGTGAAAATTAATAAATAAATTCCTGAAACAAGAGGAGGTAATGATTCCCAGAGGAATAAGTTGTAGTTGTGTAAAAACACTTTTATATAAAAACTCCTGGAGTTTTGGTTCTTATAAAAACACTTTTCCAGGAATTAAAACATGGATCTCTGGTAATTGCTAAACTTGAACTTTGATCAACTCCTGACACCATAAGAAAGCTGGAGGGAGAATGTTGAAAATTAGTTGTACTTTAACAGTACAGGTAGTCCTTGACGTACAACAGCTCATTCAGTGACCATTAAAGTTACAGTGGCACTGAAAAAATGTGACATGATCATTTTTCACACGTATGACCATTGTAGAATCCTCATAGTCTCCTGATTTACATTTGGATTCTTGGCTCACATTTATGATGGTTGCATGTCCTGGGAACATGTGATCCCTTTCTGCGACCTTCTGACAAACAAAGATCAATGGGGAAGCCAGATTCACTTAACAGCCGAGTTACTAACTTAACCACTGCAGTGATTCGCTTAACAAATGTGGCAAGAAAAATTGTAAAATGGGACAGAACTCACTTAACAAATTTTTCACTTAGCAACATTAATTTTGGGCTCCATTGTGATTGTATGTCAAGGACTTACCTGTATCTAGAAGATCATAAATTTTCCATCTCTCCTTAAAGAGAAGTTTATTTTGTTATTATATATGCCTGCAACCACTTCTCAGTCCTAAAGGAAACCAATGCTGATGGTCCTTTGGAAGGACTTATAACAGAACTGAAGCTCAAATACTTTGGTCATCAAATGAGAACTCATTGGAAAAGATTCTGAGGTCGGGAAAGATGAAAGGCAAAAGGAGAAGGGGACAGCAGAAGATGAGATAGTTAGATAGTATCTTCGACACAGTGGTCATGAGTTTGGGCAGAATCAGACAGCGGAGGATAGCGGGGCAGCTAGCGTGGGAGTCGCAAAGAGCCGGACACAACAATTGCACAACAAGCAGCCACTTCGGCCTTTGTGTACAAATCAAGCTGCTTAGCAAGTCAAAATAGGAAATCCTTGGTCCAGATCCCAGGACTTTATGAGATAATTGGATGTAGGAGCTAAGATGCTGGATTAGTCCTCCCTTAGGCATGGAAGTCACCCAAGTGACTTGGGCCGATCATTTTTTCCTCAGCCCGACCCACCCACCACAGTGGCGTTATAGGGAAAACCAGAGGAAATAATGTACACTCCCTTTACTTAACACAAAATAAAGCACTATGTTAATCAGGAATAAAATGATTTGAGGATATCAAATCATTATGTGCCTATAAAAACAAAACTCAAAATATATTCATTAAGGTGGCCTTCGACTTACAACATTCATTAGTGACCATTTGAAATTACAACAGCACTGAAAAAACTTGACTTGTGACCATTTTTCACATGACCCTTGCAGCATCCCCATGGGGGGATCAAAATTCAGACGCTTGGCAACTGGCGTGTATTTATGACAGTTGCAGTGTCCCAGGGTCATGTGACCACTTTTTGTGACCTGACAAAGTCAGCGGGGAAACCAGACTCCAACAACCATGTAGGTAACTTAACAACTGCAGCGATTCACTTAACAACTGGCAAGAAAGGTCATAAAATAGGGCAAAATGCACTTAACTATCTTGCATAGCGAAGGAAATCAATTGTGACAATAAGTTGAGAACTTCCTGTATTTAGTTAGACAAATGCAACAGTCAGATCTTGAATGTACCAGAAGATGACTTTGGAAGTGAACATTTGAAGTAGAAAATGAGTAGCTGAATATATTTGTATCTTGGCTATATTCAATTTGTGCATTTCTTCGTGGTGGAAAGTAGTGAAAGAGTGGGGAGGGAGAAACCACCCTATTTTCAGTTTCATGCCTTGAACTTTTTACCTAATAAAAGGATGGTATTAGTTAATCTGATGTCTTGGGTTTTTTTTTTTTCTCATAAATCCAATGCTTTCTTATTTCCCTGCTTGCAGATAAGAAGCTGTTCAGCTCTTTCAGACTCATCAGTTAAGCCAGTGATTGCAGCCAAGGAACCTTTTCCAGTGGACTTAACAGCAGAGAAACGATACGCTTGGTGTGCTTGTGGACACAGCCAAAAGCAGGTAGCCTTCCAGCATTTCTCACGTTTCTCTTATGTTCATTTTTGTGCAAACATAGACTCCGGTGCCTTAACAAAGCTGGGAAGAGGGTACATCCATATGCTGTGGTGTATTGGCTGAGTTTGAAGAAGCCATTTCTCTTTTTGCTAATGCAAAAAGTTTTGAAACTGTTCAACACATACAAGCTAAAAAAATTGCAACACAAACTTTCCTCTTCAGCCTTAACCAAGTCCCAGTTTCTCAGGCTAGGATGTTTTTGTAATCTGAGCAAAACTGCAACTATAAAATCCACTATAAAATCCATAGACAGACAGCGCTGTCCTTTGTTAGGCTTGTTTACAGTCTTGGTTTTGTGTCTGTCTAACAGCCCTTCTGTGATGGAACCCATAAGAAAAGTGCCCCAGCAATGTCTCCCCTGAGATTCATAGCTGAAGAATCGAAAAAGGCCTGGTTATGTGGGTGTAAATACACCAAGAACCCTCCCTACTGTGATGGTACCCATAAAGAAGATTTTGTGCAAAAGACTGACCTTCATTCTCAGCCACAGGTATAATGGGAGACCGTTTGTGAAAATGTGACAGAACTCATTGGGAAATCAGACCTGGGGCTAATACTTGAAGACCTCCTACTGTGGAAACTTTATTAAAGTGAATGAAGAGCCAGAAGACCCTTGCAAATTTGTATTCATGTTGGCAAAGGTTAGACAAGAACATGAGCATTATATCCTTGCCTTGGTGAATCCGCACAGAGGGTGGGGGCCAGGGAGTATTCTGTTTTTCACTTGCTTTATCCCTACTCCTTTAAAATCAATCCTACTGCAAGTCTTCTAATCTACTTGACAATTTGTTACTAATAAGATAAGTGCTCAAAAATTGATTCCTTAGAACAAATATTTTACTTTGCTACCTAAGGGGCCACAGAGCCACAAGTACTCTCCTCTTTGTAGCCCTCATCTCCCACTGACCATGGCTACTGAAACTGATAGTACTTGCCCAGTGCCACTTTGAGACATAGTTAATATCTGGAATACTAATTAAAAAGCAGGCAAGTCCTATAAACTGAGCAGTAGCTATAGCTGAACCATGTTTTATGGAACATCTGTCCTGAGGTGAGGTAACCTTTATTGCCACTTTTTTCTATGAACACAATGGCACACATAATTGTCAAGTACTATTAAAATGTTGCCCGTGTTATATTAGTAAATATTTACTAACAGGCAGAATAATGGAACTTTTAATGCATATAACTTTGGGTACTTTGTAATAAACAACCCAGTTTTACTTTTGATTTTGACACCTTAATGCAAACATGAACAATTACGTTCCCTCTGAGGAGATACAAATTTCCTTTTTCTCTTTTAATTTTCCTCTCTAGTTCGGCATTTTACCCCGAGCAAAGATTGCTTCATCTTCCAGGATATCACATGCACTGCCTCAGAATAGAAAATTGCCATTTTTGGCGCAAGTTATCGTTTTTCTGCTGTGCTTAAGCAATTACGCCATCCGAGTAGGAGTCAGCTTGGTGGCGTCATCTCTGCTGCAACTAAACTCTAACCTTGTCAGCAATTCCTGTCTTAGGCAATCACTTGCTTCTACCCAGGCGGCTCAGGTATAAAATATTTCAAGAGATCAGAGTTAGACTGCATCACTGTCTATATAACTCCTATATGACTAGCCTAGCCTAATATTTGCAACTTCTCAATTACTTAACAGCCTTGTGCTACATGCTGTTGCTGTTCACAAAAGCCTCTATACTCAGGAGAATTTTGAGTAAAAGAAAGGCTGGCTCACAAGGAACAAGTTTTGATCAACTTGCTCATTCCAGGGTCTTCTTGTGAGCTCTAAAGAAAAATCAATTGCCCACCCCTGTTTTTATTCCATTTTCAATACATTCTAGAGTAGTTTGAATTAATTTGAAAGGAAAGTTGTTCCTTCAAGGAAAGAAACAAAAGATAGATCCCATGCCACCTAGAAGAAGAAACAGGCTTAACAAGAGAAAGGGAGAGTGTAGGAACTTACATCTGAATGCCACTGAAGGGCGGGGGAAAAAGTATTGTGCTTAGCTAGCTGTTTTTCTATATTTCAAGAAATTATTCAGTGAGCTAATAAATATGCCACTTTTTAAAAATCTGAAACCCTTCTGTTTCAAAAATAATTTTAAAATCCATTATAATATTTGTAGCTTTCAGTGATGGTCAGGGTCTCTCCGTTGTAACAAAGAGTCATCCTTACAACATCATAATTAAATATCCAATAATTTATTTTTATTGTAAATAAAATAGCAGAATCGTTTAAATAATGTGCACCTTTGAGAGGTGGAGGGTTTTTTTTGTTTTTTTTTGGCAAGGTAAATAGGCATAAATAAAGTCATGTCAGTGAATTAAAAACACCCAAGAAATGATACAGATGCGGGCAAAAAGAAGAGTTTGGTCTATGAGATCCAAAAAGAAGAGTTTGATCTATGAGATCAGGAAGGTGGACTCCAACGTCAGTATTCCCAAGACCATTATCACGTGCAGTGAATTGCCTGGTGTGGCTGGGCTGCCGTTCGAGTTCTGTACAACTTCTCTGCTCTCTGTTCAAAGGCTGAGGCCATCCTCTTGACTACTTCATTAAAGAAAAGATTAGCCAGTTGTGAATGGAAGCTGGACTTGAATTCAAAGGAGACCTGTGAATGAAATTAAACAAATCAATTTGCGCCTAGACATGTGTATATATAAGCTATCTCATGCTTGACCACCATCTTTGCCTGCTTAAATAAATGCATAATAGTACCAGGACATCAGTACTACAAAACCTTAAGCATGAAAGTAAACTGATCAATCAGTGACAAATTTGCAGTGCTGCAATAATTTAGAGTATACATGAACCTTTGTACTTGTGATAAAACTGGACTTTGCCAACTTGCGCATTCTTGCCCCATATTCTGGTTTTAGAGTCACTCCCCTTTCTCTATCAAGAAAGGCACTTACATAAAATGTGAGTGTGCAAGAATCTAGCCGTCCTGTATTTCCTGGCTTAAATTGCCAAAGTGTCTCCAGATGCCGAAATAACCGCCCATTTTTACTCACAGCCTGAAAGATAGACAAATCAGCAAAATTAATGCCTGCTTGTTTAAACTCATTTAAACGGGGTGGGGGGAGAGGACACAGCTTGCACTTGGCAATCCTTTTGCTGGAACTTTATGGATTAATCTGGTAGTCATTGAACTCAGATTGGCAGAATGTGGCCATTAAAGCTAGCATCCAAGAAACTATTTTTTTCATTATATTCATTCATAGTGACAAAAGAGAATTTGCTTTAGAAATTATTTAAAGCAACAGATATTAAGGAACATTCTCACAGGTGCATTTATTTAATGAACCAAAAGAACATAAATATCCTGAATTGTTTTCCTGCTTCCGGCAGCTCTCTTGACTCTAAAATTCCAAAGGAAGATTTAAATAAGAAATGCCCCTAATGTGGAATAGCATAAAAGATTCCTGTACTGTAGAAACTTGGAGAATTTTCTCTTCCTGTTAAAAAAGTCAGAAAAAAACTCCACCAGGCACACATGATGCCAAGAGTAACAAAAACTTATCCTGCAAAATGTGTGTGTCTGTGTGTGTTTGTATAGATGGATGGATGGTAGATAGGGAGCGGGGGGACTGGAATCACTTGAGAACTTAATATTCTTGGATGCCGGCGTAACAGAAACTTTTCGTGCAAATATATATATATATATATATTGCACTAAACAAAATAGCAGAACTTTTGAATACATGTGGTACAGTGACTTAATAGAATTTCTCATGTACATTTTTTTTACATTTTTATTTAATAGATTTATATGGCTTCTCATCTTGTAAACAACTCTAGATAGCAAACAATATTTTAAAAAAACTACAGACCAAGCAGTAGGAGAAGCAAGAAGGAACAGCCAGTGGCAGCTGAGGAAACTAGTAACCAACCCGTCTGGCTTTAACTGATCAATTAATACCCATAGCCATGACCTAAAGGCATTCCGAAAAGCCCACAGAATGGGGTATAACCTAATGCCAGGTGACAGAATTTCTAGATTAGGGATCAGTATTAGTGTATCACCTTTAGGGGAAAAACAACACTGGAATTTGTGTTTTCAGATAAAGGATTTGGATAACAAATATGAATGAATATGGAGGCTAGCATTTTCTAACAATACTTTCCATACACATAAGACTATGGCCTACAGCATCAGTATATCCTGAAGGCAGCAGGTTGTGGTCAGCTATAGCAAATCTTCAAATGGGAAAATATTAAAAACCTCATTATCAATGTGTTAAAAAAAGGGAACCCAACTTTGGTTTTGATGACTTAGCTGAAGTTTGTCACATAAACTATTGCAACACCAGTGTTCTTTTTGAAAGGGCAATGACATAATACAGTTTTTCCCAGAGTGCTGTTGTTTTGGTGTTAAGAGAACAGTACCCAGGAAAGGGGAAATGAGTAATAGGCAGCAGCTAGTAGTTCAAACCAGATTCAAGTTGGGTTAACCGATATTACCACTGGGGGCCAATCAGGGGAGTGGTCATAAAAGTTGACAGCCACAAAATTGAAACACAACTAATTGATCCACAAAATGGCTGACCACATTTCAATCTGATAAGACGTTCTGAATCCAAATAAGTGTGTTAGTTTTTGGTTCAAAGTGTCATTACAGCCCAGAAAATTGAGTTATCTGAATGAATCATGGATAAATAATTTGGAGGTTAGAACATCTTGTGAATGCAGCTGGTTTCTTGGAAAAGAAGCCATTCAATTTGTAACTAGAACTTTAAACCATCTGAATATCATGCATTACCCGGATCTGGCAGTGAGGCACTGAGGAGATCTCCGAGACATAGCGCTCAACCACAGGAGGAAATCCCACTTCCAGCTCAGCCTGGGAGACTTCTTTGTGATGGGAAATTATGCGGGAGCAGTTACACCAGGGAACAAAGAGCTGGTAGCTGCCAACATCGGCTACAATGTCATACATCTGGTCAACAGAGTACCTGCATGAGAAAAAGTAATGGGGATGGTGAGCAAAAACCAGCAATCGGCATTAAAGATAGGAAAGCCTAAACTCTTGGATCAAGTGAAATTACCCTCCAAACATTTATTAGCGTTGCTCAGTTTAAGCCATGGGTAAATGTGAAGCCTATATCTGAAGTATTATCCAGTTTTGATCATTGCTTGTCAAACAGGTATGAAAAGATCAAAAGAGCTTCTGTGAAAACAAGCATTTCAAGTTAAAAATTCCTTTTATTTGGCGGGGGAAAATAAACTGATGAAAATAAGATGCTTTCCCCCCAAATTTTAGGCAATCCACCACATCTTGGACAATCTCAGGATGTGAGAAATATGCATATAGGCCACACCTGCTTAGTTACGAAAATCCAGCCATTAGGTCTTTGGTCTGATCTTTATATTTTTTTAATATATGCCAAGTAATCAATAAAAAGATGCATCTGAAGATATGGAACTGTGGATATATCTGGAATGATCTAAATATATGATTACATATTACCAAATGTTTCAAAGTAGAGCCAAATCTTGAACTACTCACATGGAAAAGCAATTAGGAAATACTGCTACCAGACAACTGGATATTTCATTATTTTCACAATATTTCATTAGACGAGACCTCAATACCTCTGTTCTACCAAGTGAGACTTCAACCAGAAACTGGCATACTATCATGGTTAGAACTGAGCTACTCACGGAAGTTGACGGATTTCAGTGTATTCCATACGCTTGGCACCAAGTAGAGGAGCGGCAAGGTTGAGGAAGGGCCGGACCTGCTTTCTCATAATTGATCTGGAGTCCAGGAAAGAGCAGGACTTCATTATTAGAGGACCAAGGAACCTGCTAGAGCTTAAACATCTCCAATGAAGCGTAGTAGGGCTTATCCTGTAAAAAAGAGAAAAGGAGACATCAAAGATGGCAAAGTTGAGAACAGGGAATGATGAGCTTCCCTTTAGACTAACGATAGTTGGCAGACGATCCTCAATCTTCTCTAAGTCTTAAGATCATAAGATTCCAGAATTCCCAAATGATGACACCAACTAATAACTACTAGCCAATCTTAACTAATTCCAGGGAAGTGGAAAGAAAGGAAAATGAAGTGGAAAGAGAAGGATAGAATCTAGGAGGAAAATCTTGGAAGAAAGCATGAAAACCCACTCCAATAACACTGCTAGGAAAATTATATGGACATACTTGTATTGCTTAGTTGTCAAACTTTACTGTATCTCTTTTTTTAATTTGAAACACATTTAAAGGGCATTGGTAATACTTCTCTGAATAACTGGAGAATCCAGGAAAGCAGGATGGTCAATTTTGACCCTTTTGATGCATTCTTTTTTTCCATTTCCAATAGTATATTTATATATTTAAGAGCTGTTTAGAATATTTGGTTTTATTTTGCATTCACCCTATACTTGTTTTCATTTCTTTTAAGGTTTTATTTTTATTCTGCTATAAGTAGAATTAGCTTTGTTATAGGAATTACTCAGAGATTTAATTGTTAGGCAGTACATAAATAAAGTTAAGGTTGCAATTTTATCCAGAATCAGTAAATTAATTCCTACTGAACTTAGTGCAGCTTAATTCAGAGTAGACTTTCTACTGAGGCATATATGATCATTTCACTGTGAAGAATGAGGGGTTCAAAATGCCTATTTTTATTGAGTTACATCAATTCCAAGTATTAAATATATTTTATTATTATTAAATCATATTAAATAATTTAACAAACCAGCTATTAAACCCATTATACTGAATGAATTATTCTACTGATTATCATACTAAGCAAACCACAGAAGTTAATTAAGTTAAACTCACAATGCCCTAATTCATTTACACTATTGGAAATAAGTGTGTTCAAAAATCACTTTTAATGTGATTTAGTTTTAAGTAGACATGCTAGTATGAATATTTATTGAAGTGATACCTAAGAATCTTTTACATGTTACTCTGCAGAAATAAGACCACGAGATTTGATGGCATAATTCCCAGATGCTCTTCTTTCAATTGCTTTAAATTATGTATTAAACATAGTTAGCAAACTATGGCAGTAGTTTGCGGTGGCCGTCAGAAAAAAAATATGATTAATGATTTAGCAAGTTTTAATGCTTGCTTTAATTTAAAAAAAAGAGTTGCAGCTTTCATATAAACACGCTCTGCCTAGATGAATCACTTTTCAGTGGCATTCCCACAACCTGCCAACAAAAGAGCCCCGAGCTAGCCCAGTTTAACATATCATGCGAAACCATCCCATCAGCCTCCGGCCTTCTTGCTCCTGGCAACCGATTTAACCCACTGGTGGGGACCAGATTCAGTCTGGGGAGAAACGAAACCGGAGCAAGAGAAGGAAAGACAGGGGCTCCCGGTTATCCGAACCCAACTAACCCCCAGCCATTATTTCCTCTGGCAGTCGGTCTTACCGTGCACCCCGTGGAAAGCGCGGGCGTAAGCCGCTCCCGAAAAGACCCCGAAAGGCATCCAAACTCTTACTGAGGTGCCTGGTTCCAGCCATCTCTCAAATGTGCCGTCCGAGCGTCAGAGATTACGAATGAACCGGCGAAAAGACCAGACATCCGCCCCCACGGCCGCCTCCGCTCCTCCTCTTCACACCCTTCCAGGTTACGCCCAAAGCGGCCAGACTGGCGCGTTTTTTTTTTAAAGAGATTAAACTCCATTATTCTTTACAAAGATAGCCCAACCCACCACCACCACCATTTCGGAATTTAAAATACTTTTTAACATCCAAGGGTGAGCTAGGATCATATAACTGCTCTGATGAAATCTGATTGGCAGTGTGTGGCCAAGGGTAGCTTTGGTGGTTAAGGTTCGTTTTCCGAGCTTGTGAGTTGGTTTCCGAAAGTTTCGTTACCAGGCTAAGTAACATCTTCAGTGGAGTTTAGGGAAGTTTCCCCCTAAAACGAACCTTCACCCTCATCCTACACTCGAGCTACAGAGTATGCAATATATGCAGTGCACAGTATTCGTTTGAGCGTTCTAACCTTGATTTTACCGAAGTAACAAGTTGGTAGATTCAGACAAGCACTAAGCCACAACAAAATTACCCAAGCTGAAACCCTAACCCCTAACAGCACATTGTGCAAAGGCTGCTTGGTGAGGATCGAATCGACATGGTCAGGTTTGCTTGCAGACGTTTCTTTACCCAGACTAGTAAACGCTAGTAAGGAGTGCAATTTACTGTCAGTTTATATTCTGGTGGCTTGCCTGTTGATGGGGGTGGGGATGTTAGAGATGTCTTGATTGGGCTGTTTCCTGTTGACTTCATTAGCAGTTTCTTGATTGGGATATTGTTTGTTTATTGTTGGTCTGATGTTAACCTCGGAGTTAATCTCTGCTGATCTGGGTGCTAATTGCTGGTAGGGAAGTGCTTGAGTCTTTTTGTTCCTTTTTGGGCTGGGTGATCTGGCTATAGATGTTGTTAATGTCTATATGTCTATTGATGGCTAATTTGTCAGAGTGGCAGGCTGTTAGAAGTTCCCTGGCAATTTTTAGACTTAGCTTGGTTTAGGATCGTCACATTTTTCCAACTGAAGCTATAGTTAAATCTGCTTATATGTAGAGTGGAGTGGAGTGGAGTGGAGTGGAGTGGAGTGGAGTGGAGTGGAATGGAATGGAATAGAATAGAATAGAATAGAATAGAATAGAATAGAATAGAATAGAATAGAATAGAATAGAATAAACTTTATTGTCCCTTTGAATGTACACTAATCGGTATACATTAAAATAAAATTTCATTGCATACAGCTCTCAAAAGTCACCACCTTCAATATACACTATATAAACATGATATACTGATACCATGTGGTCGTATTAGTCTGTTGGTGGTTTCTGAGATATTCTTGATGTATTGGCAGAGTAATTCTTTTTAGAATTTGTGTTGGTTGTTCTGTATTGAGTTGAGTGGTCAGAGACTTTTTGATAAAATTGTATGGATATCCTTTTTGTTGGAATACATTGTGTGGATGCTCTATTTCCTTTTTCTGCTCTCCCAGGGTGCTGCAGTGTGTTTGGGCTTGTCCAAATAAAGTCCTTACGCATGTAGCTTCTTTTGTGGGGTTGGATTATTGCTTTGCTAATGGAACACCTGGTTAGTATGGGTGGTTTTTTTTGTTTGGTCTCTGCTGATCAGGATGTTCAGGAAGGGTAACAAGTTGTTGTTTTCTTCTTTAGACTCCTCATGTCAACCCTGAGCTACAAATGCTATCCTTCATTAGTTAGTTTATGGTCCAGTGGGCCAAGCAAATCCACCAAATTGTCAATTCAGTAACACAGCAATAAAAAGCACAATTAGAACTATTGCTGGTGAAGGGAAATAACAATGGAAACAACAAAAGCAAAACTTGCGTGATGGGAATAAAAGTTATTGAACAAATACTGGAATTATAAAATGCTCCTAGAACACTACCAAAAACTTTAAGTTGCCAAGAACTCTTAATTAGGTAAAATGGTAGAATGTGATAGGAAAGGCGATAGCAATAGCAATAGCATTTAGATTTACATACCGCTTTATAGTACTTTACAGCCCTCTCTAAACAGTTTAGAGTCTGCATATTGCTCCCAACAATCTGTGTCCTCATGTTACCCACCTCGGAAGGATGGAAGGCTGAGTCAACCTTGAGCCTGGTGGGATTAGATCTGCCAAATTGCAGGCAGTTGGCTGCAGCAGAAGTAGCCTGCACTCTAACCACTGCGCCACTGAGGCTCTATAATAGATAGTGGATAAATGGGTCTGGTTTCCAAGTCAAATATATAACAACCCAATGGAGGGCCTGTAGCCTTCTAAATTATGCAAAATTCCATAGCTGGACTCTGAAGGATCATGAAGGATGTCAAGAGCTCAGGTCCAGAATGGTGAAAAGTTTCAGATTTAGATGGAATATGTGAGTAGGCTACAGACTTGCAAATGGGATTTTATTAAGTGCAAGGGGAATGGGGAGTCTTAGACTGCATTAATATGGGCAGGAAGGAAGGAAGTTTACCTTTGTCATGGGGGAATTTAAAGAGCTGCAGTTAAAACCAGGCAAGTTCTTCTTTCTGAGTAAAATACAAGTGGAGAAAAGAAAGGAGTGAATTAGCCTACCTTCATTTTCAAAAGATTGCTTATTTATTCCTGTGGGCTAAAATGAGTTAATCCAAGTGAGACAGGTGGAATGGCTTGGTGCGAAAGATGCAGGTGTTTCCAAAATGCTTTTAGAAGGAAAGTATCCAGTCACAATCCTCCTCTTCCTCAACCTTCCTCTTCCCTTTACTGAAAACATTTTGCTTCTGTTCCAAGAAGCTTCCTCAATTCATGAACTGCAGCTGGATGATTGAGAACCTTGACAGACACTGTCCCCTTTAGTTAGCATCTCTTCACTCCAATTTGTACTCCAGTATCAAAGAGTCTGTCAACTTTGGGACATCTAATTACATAATATGTGTAATATCCTTTCACTGTCTTGGAATTGCTTCATAATTATGGTAAAGCAGTTGTAAGAGTAGAAGAGTTACGTTATTTGGCTGTTTTGCAATATGTCTTCTAATGCTGGTAGTGTTTTATTTGTCATCGGGGCGGGGAGTGGGAGTTGGGGGTGGTTTTTTATTTATTTATTTCCCAGATTTTTTTTTCTATTGTACTTACTTTCTTTTATTCTTTTTGTTAGGTTTTTATTGTTTTTTTATTTTAAATATGGTTTTACATTCTGTAAGCTGTGTCAAGTCTCCATGGGCAAATAGGCGGCAATATAATTCAATAAATAAATTCAATAAATAAATAAGTAAATAAATACATCTATTGTTCCACTCAATGGAAAAGGAGTGGAGGAGAAAGATAGATACTGCAGATCAATGTTTAGCTATATAAATGGTGTTCACAAGTCATCTGATGTGGGGTTCTTGGTGATATTCTTGTAGACGTTTCATTACCAAGCTAGGTAACATTATCAGTGCTGAGAGAGATTTGATGTCTGGGACCACAAGTCTATTTTATTATATGTCAGAGAGCTGGCTTTAGATGAGGATCGGAAAGAATGTGTTTGGCCAAACTATGCTGTACTAGATCAGTAGTGGTTTAATCTGAATGCCTGAACTTTTAAATTAGTGTTGGAGATGGAACCTAGCATTTATTTGTAGGAATTACATATAAAAACTTGTGCACTGCAAAATGTAGAGGGCAAATGTGCTGAGCCCTACTGTTAGCTCAATTAAAAAAAAATCAGAAAAAACATTGACTTAAAGTTCATTCTCTCAATTTTTAGATACAAATGATCAAAGTAGGAGAAAGATGATGATCTTTAATTTCAGGGAAGCAATATTTAAAATGGGCATTAATTAAATTCTGCGTTCTCAAGGCTTGTTCAAAAGGAACCAAGGGAGGACCCAGAAGGAAAGTAGCCAGAGTGGAAATAATGGAGATTTTGAGATAGAATAACTAGTAATGCTGCAATTCATGATTTTATGGGAAAATAAAACTGAGTGTAGTCAAATGCAGGACTTGGATTTCAAGAAAGCAGATTTTAATAAAAGTGATAAACTGAATTCCATGGTAGGGGAATCTGAAAGAAAAATAATTTTGAAATGGGTTAGGAATTACTTTAAAAAATGAAAAATTAGAAATCCAAACACAAGCTACTAGTATCTAAAAATGGTAGAAGCCATCATGATTCTACAAAATGCTGAGTGAAAAGCTGAAAATCAGAAAGGACACTTACAGCAAATAAGAACTAAAATGTTCAAAGTTTAAACATATATATATATATATATATATGTATATATGTATATGTAGATATATATGTAGATATATATGTATGTATGTCTATGTATGTATGTCTATGTATGTATACAAATGCTTGAATCTTTTGATCTTTAATGTAAAATGTATTGGCTGAAATGTATGTCAAAGAAGACTACCACGTTCAATATTTTTAATGTTTATTTTCATTTTTTAAAACAATTTAAAGGACGCTTATAGAAAGTGAAATGTGAGACAAGCCACTAAGGAAGAGTGTTCTGGATTTGTAAAGATGGTATCTTCAAATATGTTAAAAATAAGAGACTCAGTTGTTTTATGAAGATAGTAAATAGGTAACAAAGAAAAATCAGAACAATTCTATTCCTGTTTTGGCTCAGTCTTGAATGGAGGGGGGAATAGATGTTTCACTATATAACTGCGAAGGTCTGGCTGAAGAATCAGATTTCACCTTGTGATTTCTAATCAGGATATAACTTTGAATGAGTTCAAAGTAGTCCACCTGAAGAATTATATCTCAGAACATTTAGGAAAGTTACTAGAAGGCTAGATGAACCAGACTGAGAAATTCTGAACAAGAGAGGAACGACATAGAATCTTAAACAGTCAGTCAGTCTAACTTTCAACATCTATGAAGATTCCAGAACACATATATAGATGAGAAGATAGTGTCAAAATTATAAAGTAGTTGATCATAAGCTAAGTATGAGTCAACAATCTAATATGGCTACAAAAAAAAAAGGCAGATGAAATTTTAAAGTTTATAGATTAATAACTTCGCAACATGCCCATT